GTTAATAATTCCAATTAAGTATATAGCTAATTTAATACTATATAATAATAATAATATTTATTTACAAATTTTATTTTAACAATACTTTCTATTATTTTATTACTTTAAAGGTCATAAGGTCATATCAATTTTTATTATGACCAAAAGTCATAAAGGTCATATAGGTCATATTGGTCATTTAAGGTCATAACCCAATACTGTCCGCCACTGATCCTTATGAATTTTCATATTTTTGACCTTCCGCTCTAAATCTGCATTTTTCTCTTCTAAATGATTAATTCACACCCTCATTCTAAAAATATAAATTAATTATTATTAATATTATTAATATTTCTATATTATTAAAAAATTTTATTACCAATTTTCTCCCAACTCTTCTCTATAATATAAAATTATTATTATTATTAGATTTTTACTTTTGTTTCTATTTTTATTTTGTTTTATTATTATTAATTTATTATCTCTGCTTCTCAATCTTCTCCTTGGACTGACGTTTCTTTTTGTTCAAGTTTTTGTAATGGTGGACCATCTTGTTAAAATTTTTGTTCTAAATTCTTGAAAAAAATTTTTGATTACCCCTTAAAAACCTTATTTAAGTTATATGAGCAAATCTTAATTTATTGAACAATTTTATCGAAAAAGTTAACTTTATAAATTATACAACAAACAAATTTTATTATTATACCTACTATAGTAAAATGGTAAAGACATATGACTGTTGCTAGCAGTTGTAGGTTCGATACTAGCTGGTAGACGGTAAACTTTGGCTTCTAGGGACTACAATTACATGCCAGCCTGTAGTAATTTTTATAAAATTTTTACAAAATTTTAGTTAGTAGTAATATTATATTATTTCTATTACTCTCTTAAAAAGATTTTTTCGCTGGAGCTCAAAATTTAGAAGGGAAAAATGTTAACCCCTGCAATTAAATGTCATGTGATATTAAACAAAAATGTGACACTAATGCCAAGAGTGCTAAGCAGTACTGAATAGTACTAACCAGCACTAAATAGCGCAGGTAAAACCACTAGATTTAAAGTACTTGTTATGGTAACAGTACTAAATTGTACTAAAAAGTATTGAAAAGTGCTAGAGAGTTATTAATAGAAATAATAGCAAAAGGTTATGATGATTAAAATGTATAAATAAGCTCATGTATCACTCTTGTAAAAGAACAGTTTGCAACAACTCAATAATAAAGAAGTAATCGTGTCTTCATATACGAACAACTCAATTACTTTATTAAATAAAACCCACAATTCTCCAGAGAGTAATCATGTCTTCATACACAGATCGCTCAAATAAATTGTAGATTAGTTATAGTGTCTTCATACACGTATAACTTGAGTAAATTATCGAATAAACTGTAAACTTGATTATATGACTATTTGTATCTTCATATACAATTAGCCATTTGCCTCTTTCGTAATTGCAAAATCACCAAATCCTCTTAAAAGCATAACCGCAACTAACCACATACTTTACTTAGCATAAATCGGCATTTTAATATTACTTCCTTAAATATCCCCGTCGCTATAGTAAAACCGTTATACCGGATTTCTAAGAGGTAATTCCGGGTGTAACACCACTCTAGTAGGTTTAGGTTGCAGATAAATTAGATTTAATAATCTATAGTCTGAGTCTCATTCTTGTAAAAAATTTGTAAACTGGCTCCGGCCAATGATACCCCTAGTGGTTATCCAATACAAATAAATAAAGATAAAGGCAAAACCTTACTTTAAAAAAAAAAAAAAAAGTATATAGTTTATAGTATAAATATACTATATATTTCATAGTATTAGATATTATATAATATGATGTTATAAATATAACTTTTCTTTGTACTATATTCGAATCTGAGATACAATATAAATAAGATTTACAAATAGTAGCTTTTTTTTAATAAACAAAAACTAGATTTATATTGAATTATACAAACTATATAATCAAAGTTTATTATATATCACATTGATACCAACTATATACTAGTGCTGTATAGTAGAATTTAAAATAAATTTAAATCAAAAATAAAACTTTTGAACCATAGGCCTGATTTGACATTTGTTCGTCTGTCTACCCAATGTGTACGTATTAATTTTGTTGCATCTTGATAGATTTTGGCTAAATTGTTGGTGAAATAGGTTAATACTTTATGTACGTTCGTGCGTACATACATAAATAACTAATAATTGCACAATTGGGAATTAAAGATGAACAACGTAAAAGAGACAAAACTTGGTGGCGAATAGAAATCTATATATAATTAGCATTAATTGATCTTTTTTCATTTGTGGCGTCCAGTGAAATGTCAGACCATTTTTTTTACGGAATCACGATATGTGAGATCAAGAAAATGAGGTCATGGCTAAATAGTAATTTGGCAATTGATAGAAAGATTGAATGAGATACGACGAAGAAAGAAGTCAAGATCTCAAAAAGAACGGATTATTTCGGATAATTCCGGATTTATTTTACATTAAATAATCCGGGGTAATAGTAGTATCGATAAAAAGAACAAGTAAATATTGTTAAGTAAATGAAATCGATTGCATGATAAGCAATTAAATATAAATATTTATATAACTATAATGGAAAGACGAGATATATAATTAGAATTTAAGTACGTAGTATTTTTCACACGTCGACATTTCCAATAATAACGATAATGGGAAATTCATGGTAAGAAAGCAAGCAGAGGTAGATGAAAGTAGATGAAAGTAGATGAAAGTAGATAGATGAAAGCTTGATGGCGCAGTGAAAAGAAAAAGCACGTGAGTAAGCAGGGATTTTCACACATAAAAAGAAAACCAAGAATCGGTAACATAGAGATAGACCCAAAACGGAAACAGAAATATCACAAGAGTACAAAGGGTGAACAAGGACTCGCGTGTCTCCCGCTTTTTCAAATTTTGTTTGTAATCGACAAGTGTTGTTCGAATAGAACACAACATTCATTCTAATAATCAACTAAGGTATACTGTCATACTATGTTATCGGATATTCGGTTATTTCTCGAATCTTCACCGATCCGTTTCGTCACTCTCTCTCTACAATTCCGCTATTCTCCGCCAGGTCATTTCCGAAGAAATGGCAGCTAACTAAATTTCAAAGTCATTTTCATATTATATATATGTCATAGTTCGTCATCTCGCATGATAAGTTGAATTAAATTATGCGTTTAATGGTTTTCGCCGCAATAATCAGTTTTCTTAAAGAAAGAATCATGCGGTTACTCAATCAGCAAAACGATGCTAATTTAGCGAGTATGACAAATATTTAAATAAATGAATTCTAAATAAATGCGCGGTAACTTTTTTAAATGTGGTAAGACGAGATCAGATATCGTAAAGCCATCGCAAATACATCGTACATGTGGCAGAAGAGAAAAAACGAACGAAACACCAACATTTCAAGAATCAATCAGGATTCACCAATAAAAGAGATTTTCTTGTGTGATATCAATGAACCTGCCGGATATTGAGAAGCAGGTGTCAACGTGGTTTCTTTGCGACATGAGACAGGTTTCTTGTTTCACATGTTTATTGTTGCACTGATAAGAAAGAAATGTAATCCGATCAGCGAGACTGTTTCTCTTCTAAATTGTTATTATCTGAATTTATATCTGATTTATTATATCGATTTATATCGATTTTATATCTGATTTATATCTGAATTTATATGTATTTCTAATATTCTTATTGATGTACCATATAAATGTGTACTGTATTTTTCAACTGTACTTTTGACGAACTGAAGTTCTTAGTAAAGCGAAAAAAAAAAAAAATAAAATAAAATTAAAATTCATCATTTTCATCCACTTATTCGCTTATTGCTGCTAGATTTATTTTTTTTTGATAGCCTCCATTATTGGAAATTGCTCCGACTAATCTGCTGATGCAAGTATTTATCTTCCCCCCTTTCTTTTCTATCTAACGAAAATAATCTTCCTTTCTTTTTTTCCCATCATTTTTTTATTTATATAAACTGCTACGCAGAAATTATCTTGTATTCGTTGATATCGATATTGTAGTTTATTGATAGGTTAAAACTGACGTCAACGTGATCAGTTTTTGCTTTTCCTATTATAACAATAGGAAAAAGGTACAAAAAATTGAATTTTTATATATCCGTGTCCGTACATACCAAAAATAAAACTGTTGACGGTTTGAATTTGGAAGGCTCGCTTTTTCTTCGCTTTTGTGTTCGACAGGCTGGACCATGGCCGATCCACGATCTTTCAGAGACAAATATTATAGGTTGCGAGAAAAATACGATGCCCTTAACAAAGTTCGTAACTTTTTTAATTTCATACATATATATATGTGTATATTTTTTTTTTCGCTTATACGCGTGTAAGTTCATTTCGAAAAAGTATAAACTTAGACTTTCCTAATTTGCGCAGCAAAGGGACGAATTAAAACAAAACCTAGAGATAACAAAGCACAAGGCGCGCAAGCTAAAAGAGCATAATAAGTACATTTCTTTTTTTTTTTAGTATAATTATTTAGATCGTGAATTCGTTTCTAAACTTCAAAATTTCGAATAATAACCTCCCCTTCACATGTCCTTTATTCACCTCTCCCTTTTTCTTTTCTTTTTTTTTTATTCTATTTTATTTTTATTTTTTTTCAGCCGTTTACTCGACTTAATGATGGACATGAACCCCAGTCTCGTTGATGACGTATCCGGGTAAGTGGTTTAAAGTCGGTTAACTTCTTTGTAATTGATAAGCGACTTAATTACTTTTCTGGTTTATTTTTAAAATAATTAACGGTTTTGATAACACATTTACTGATTCTATCCTTTCCTCTTTTATAGTAGCTCTTCGTCTGATGAATCGGATGTCCTATCTGATGCAACCTCAGATGATCTCGATGCTAGTATAACTCCTATGAATAGATATGGTATTTATAGTTTATTTTTTTATGGTTAACCTTTTGTCATTTTATTGCCATTCTATTCTAAAACGTTTTAATGCGTATTCCCTTTTCCATTGATTGATCTTTTTCTTTCTTCATTTATCTTTCATTTATCTTTCATTTATCTTTTATTTATCTTTTATTTGTCTTTTATTTGTCTTTTATTCATTTTCCATTTATTAATCTTTTACTCTTCCTTTATTCGTCCTTTACTCATCCTTCATTCGTCTTCATTTGGCTTAGAACAACCAAAACAACCGACTAGAGAGTACAAAAGAAAGGTTTCACCACCTACAACACGAAAACCCCGTGCATCTCCTCAAGCATCAGGTTCAAGGGCTGCCGGAAAACGCAAAGTAACTTTGTTTTTTTTTCGTTTTCGATTTTCATGATCTTCTGATACTCATTCCCTTTTTTGTTTATCGATCTACAGCCAGAAGAAGGTATTGGTGCTGATGAAGTGCCAACACAAAAACGTAGGCGTAAAGCTCCGGGTGTGGTAACTTATCAACTTCCGTTTATTTCTTTTCTTTTTATTTTAATTGTTATTCAATTTTAGCTTTTAACTATCCTTAAATTATCTCTAATTCCTTTATTGATTTTATAGAAAAAGAAACGGGACGATCGTACTGATGCTAAGAGGATTGAGGTTAGTGTGTTATTTTATCTAGTATTTTTATGTTTCATGTAACGTCAATCCTTTTATTTTTACTCCCTACTTAACTAAATGCTATCATTTCTTATTATATTTAGCCTTTACCAATGAACCCCGATGGAACCTTAAAATTACCTGTTACTATTGGTAAAGGTACCAATGAGGTGACGATTTATCGTATAGGTAATTATTACTTGCTTTCATTTATTCTATTTTATTTATTCAATTTATATATTTTTTTTATATAATTTTATTTTATTCTCCTAATTATAATTCTTATCTAATTTCCGATTCTCCTGATTCTTCTTATCTAATTTACACTCCCCTAATTCTTCTTATCTAATTTACACTCCCCTAATTCTTCTTATCTAATTTATGTTTCTCCCTAATTCTTATCTAATTTATTTATTTTATTTATTTATATTTTAATTACATGTTTTATACTTGATAGGGCATATAGTTTGGGATAAAGAAGCTTATCATACCAATCGATACATATTTCCGGTTGGTTTCATGAGCAAAAAACAATATTTGAGTGCTGTCGATGTTACAAGAAGGACAACATATACCAGTGAAATATTAGACGGCGGTGATACACCAATCGTATGTCTCATTCTTATTATATATTATTTCAATTTTAAATTTTTAAAAAAAATCTTCATTAACTCTTAAATATATATATATATTTTTTTTTTGTAGTTTCAAGTTACCGCTGAAGACCAACCCGGTCGTAAATTTTCTGCTAGTTCATCTAGTGGTGTTTGGAAAAAGATTCTCGATGAAATTAATATACAAGGTGTCCCTTCAAAAACACATGCAAGCGGTCCCGAAATGCTTGGTCTAAGTCATCTAGGAATTACAAAATATATTCAGGTAATTATTGTATTTTATATTTATTTATCTTTTATAATAATTATCTTTATTATATTTTATAAATTATTGTCGGGATGATACTGAAATTTGGATGATCGTGAAAATTTAAATTTCCTATTGGCTGATCATCCTAATCCTATCCAATCAGATGCTTTAATTTCAGCAAAATCTCCGACTTATCTTTACAATAATTATAATAATTATGTTTACGACAATTTTTCTTTACCATAATTGTATTTACGATAATTTTTCTTTACCATAATTGTATTTACGATAATTTTTCTTTACGATAAATTGTATTTATGATAATTATCTTCACAATAATTCTTACTATTTCTCTGTTCCTTCTTTATAGGAATTACCCGGAGCTGAAAAATGCACAAAATATGTGATGCAACGTTGGATTGATGATGATCAACCACCGCCGCCTGTAAATATGCCGGTAATTAAGCGTGAACCTATGGATGAAGAAGAAGAGGATGATGATGACAGATCGGCAATTACAAACGGGCATGAACAATACGAGCACCAAATAAAAACTGAAACTAGCACTCCCTAAGCCGATTATCCTACCTAACTTTATCTCGCTCTATTCTTACCCCACTCTTCCTGGTCGTTCCCTATGGGATTCTCATTCCTCGTTACGAATTTTATCCGATAACACTGTTATATACTATTCATTTCTTAGTTATCAACTTTAAATCGTATTATTTTTTTTTTATTATTGTAGTTAGCATAATATGATTATATATCATCTTAATTACATATGGGACAAATTTAGGAAATGTCTGGTCATTCATTCAATGTATATAGGAAAATCATCAAATTTTGTGAAAAAAAAAAAACGGGTATTTTTTTAAATATCAAAGGATTGAGTACTCTTAAAACTTTCTTTGAGCTACTTTTGGAACCCACTCTTTTTTTAATATCATATTAAATTTGAAAAATAATATAAATAATTGTTATTTTTATAATTGTTTCTCTTAAAAATTGATTTTTTTTTTTTTTTACGCATTACATTTTTTATAGTTGCATAATATCTAATAAATAGGTTTATAGCATATATTTTATAAATATGTTTAAAATACTATACCCCGATACTAAATAAAAGCTCAAATCAAATATTGTTATTAAAATTTATAAACTATATATTGATTTTAACGTTAATAGCGGATCTGATAAACATGTACGTAGATATGTAGGTACGTATAGTATATCCAATATATATACAGTATATATATATATATATATATATATATAGTATATATTTATTATTTTATACGTATGTATATATATATAATTTAATTTTATATTTTAAATTTTATTTTTATTTTTAAAAATCGGTTAAACTTTAGTATAAATAGATAAACTTTATAGTAATTATATATATATATATATAATTCTATTTATATTAAAGCTTATTTGATTATATCGAACAAGATTTAGATTTTACTAAATTTACTTAATTAAACTTTATAAACAATAAAATATAATGCTATATATATATATATGTACTGTATATATATATTAATATTTTATTGGTATATTTTATTAGAATCTATATTTAGTATTTATTAATATTAGCTTTATTAATAAAAATTTTAGAATTTAATATTAGAGAATTTCTATTTGTACGCGGGGTGTATGTACACGGACAATACAAAATTTTGATTATGAAACCATCTTTTGGTTTTTAATAAAAAACATTCTTTGTAAAATTTTAGTATAAGCTATATTTTGCCCAATCCCCTCACCCTTACCTTAACTATAAGTGAGAGTTTAATTTTTTGTTTGTAAAAATTGTTTTGATTAGCATGCTTCACAAATTTGTAATTCAATAAATTATACCCGTATATAAACACTATGTGTAAACTAATATTATTTTTAATGTTTTAATTTAAAGATATATTGTCGTGGCTGAAGCTGGAAATGGCTGAAGCTGGAA